GATGAGAGAGGCGTCTGTGCCATAGACTGTTTTGTTCAGAGGAAGCTTTGGACAGCAGGCAGATGGAAGAAGGTAATTGTACACTCTTCAGATCAATGGTGTACAGGTTGGAAGTTCTTGTGCGGGTCAATAATACCTTCCCAAACCTGTCCAGCACACAACATTGGCTGGCTATAAACTTCACTTCCATGCCACTATCACAGAACTGTCCAATGCTTAGTAGATTATGCTTCAGTCCTTTCACATATGAGACAACCTTTATGGTGACGCTTGTACAGATGACATCCCCATATCCTAGGATTGGAGAAGCCGCGTTGTTTCCAAATCTCACATTTCCTCCGTAGCATTTGGTGTAATTGCTCAACAGCTCTTTTATTCCGGTCATGTGGGTTGAGCAGCCTGAATCTAAGTGCCACACATGACCGTCCTGCAAAACAGATTAAGGACTTTTAGGTACCCACCGCAGGATGGGTCCTTCCTTATCAATTGAGAATATCTTTTTGAATTTTTCTTTCAGCTGTGATCCAAGGTCAGCAGCCTTTTTAGACAGTGGTTTTTGTTTTTCAAGCTCAGCTTTTGGTATCCATTTTTGTTTGATTTTAGGAGCAGAGAAGACAGAGTCATTGTTTCTGTGTGTGAACGGCTGGTTTGTGAGATAAGGTTTTAAAATTGCTTCCTTAGAGAGTCTTTGTAAGTGTTTCTTTGAATGAACTTTAAGAGGATATTTTAAATTTGGAAAATTATAAATACCCTCTACAGCTCTATTCTCAGATTGTTTCTTTTGTTTGTGCTCTTTCTGTTTTCTCTCACGAACAGAATTCACAACACATTCATGATCAGAATCATTAAAACATGCATTCCCTAACTTAGGAGCATACAACTTCTTATTGAAATAAAATGGATCAGAAGTAAAATCAGATTCATTCAGCTCGGGACACGAGACTGAAACAGAACTACATGGTGGTGTCAAAGAACTAGAGCGACATTTATTTGAATAAAAAACAGCACTAGAACAAGACTTCTTATTTTCAAAAAACATCTTCTTCTTTCCTTCAGCTATCTCAGCTCTCTTTAGCTTCCACTCTCTTCTTCTCTCCACTCTCCTACTTACTTCATTTCCTGTTTTCAAAGGAGAGTTGAAGTGAGTGGGTGCCTTTTTGAAAAAGTTAGTTTTGTCTTGAATAGGCTGAGAAATATCAGTATCAGTATCACTAGATGCTTGAGAAGTTGTGTTGGATCGAGAACTTTCTTTTAAAAGAGTTAATTCATTTAGCAACCTATCCCTTTCACTTTCAAAGCTTTTTCTTTCTTCTTCAAAAACTTTTCTTTGTTCTTCTAAAGAGATGTGAAGTTTTTCAAATTTTCTTATTAGTGGAGGGATATAGGGTTCTTCCTCTTTTTCAGAATTAGAGGTTGAAGGAGGTTCTGGATCTGACACAACTTCTGTCTCAGAAGGGTAAGGACTAACAATCTCATCATGTGAAAAAACTGGTTCTTTTGTAGCATAACTTTCATTTAGGGAGTCATAATTGAATGAAACCTCAGCTTTAGAAGGGTTTGATCTCTTTGTTTCTTCTTCTTCAGCAGTTTCTTTTGCTCCGACAAAGAGCATCAACTTGGTCAATCCCAAACCCATGTAATTGATATCATAAAGCTGACGACAATTGATCTTTTTCAAATTACGGGGGTTTGTGATGCCAAGACCTTCTTTAGAGTTGTAAAAACGAGTGTCTTTGTTTTGATTTAGAAAAATGGTTTGCTCAGACTGCCCTCTTTTGGCAATTAAATCTTCTAATTCTTTGATTTTTCTGTAAAGAATGGTTATTTTATCAAATAGCATATCCTTTTTGCCTTTCTCACAATTTCGTTCTACTTCAGTTTCACTCAACTTCTTAGTGAGTTCTGCAACTTTCTGTGTAAGCATTTCTGCTTCTGAATTTCGCTTCTTCAGCATGTCCTTTTCATTGTCAAGTTGTACACTTAATGAGGAAATTCTGTCAAGTTTTGTGAGAAGGTTTTTGTAATTGTGATCTAACCTATCCCTTAGCTCCTTTATAATGTCATCTTTTTCTTGAAAAGAATGAACTTTGCATGTACAAAAGCAGGAAGATTCAGAAGTACTTACAGTGTGGTTTGAGCTTGAACTTCCACTGGGGATCGCAACATCACCCTTTTCTTCTTCCTCCTTTTCAACAATAGCCATTAGTGCCAAGTTTTCTCCTTCTTCATCGTCAGAACTTTCCTCCTGCCATGGATCTCCCTCAGTGAGCGTTGCAGCGTTGTCATCATCTTGTTTAGCCATGAACATTTTCTGCTTGTTCCACAACATTTTCTGCTTATAGTAGTTGAAGTCCCTCTTTCTTGGCAAGCGACAGTCTTTGATAACATGTCCAGCTTTTCCGCAATTGAAGCATTTGGGAGGGTCTTCCGCTGCAACAGCTCTACTGGAAGAGTTCTGATCATTATTCTTTGATTTGTAGTTGGCAGAGGAAGTTCGGAGTTTATTGGAAGAGCTTCCTTTCTTCGAGAATCGTTTGTTGAATTGGTTGGTCAGCAGGGCCATTTTCTTTTGCAGTTCGGCCAGTTCTGATTCTACATCCACCTCTTCCTCACTATCTTCCTCTTCAGACATCACGACAACTGTCTTCTTCTTCTTCTGAGCTTTGGATGAACTCTTGGGTTGAGCTTCCATCATTAATGCTAATGGATTGCCAGGATAGCTTCCTTCCATGTCAGCAGTGTCATTCACAAACTGTTGAAGGTGCTCATGCACAGTACATAGATCAAGTTCATCCAAATCCAGGTGTTGACGTAAGTTCTTCACAGTTCTTCTCCATTCTGGTGGCAGGCTCGACAAGAAACGTATGTTCATTTCCATGTTTGATTTGACAACCTTGATCTTTCTCATCTCATTGATCAGTTGTACAAATCTGTTGTACGTTTCATGGAGCGCCTCACCAGGTAGAGCTTTAAATCCATCATAGGCAGTCAGGATGTTTGCCTTCTTCGTCTTCAAACCCAAATCAGTTCCAATCATCAGTTTTTTAATTTCATCCCACATCTCTTTAGCTGTTTCCATGCTGTCAATTAGTATATATATGTCATTAGGAATAGCTTGGAGCAGGTACGTTTTTGCCATGAAATCTGCCTTGACTCTGAGCCTGTCTGCTTCAGTGTACTCGGATTTTGCTTTCAATCTTCTCTCAACAGTGACGGGAGGATTGTTTACACCATCTGAAGTCACATCCATCCAGATTTGTGCTGGGCCCTCAGTAAGCGATTCCAGCATTGCAGACGAGTTGTCTTTTCCTTCCAGAAAGTTTAAGAACCTTGTTTTCCACATCTGATATTCTCCTCTTCTCAAGATTGGGGGTCTGTTCTCATTTCCAAGTGCCAATGCTTCCATCTTAGACCGTTCGAGTGATTTGATAAAAAAATTTAGAAACAGAATGTCGAAAACCTAACAATCAGGGATAGGTTCGAGAAGTAAGTTCGAGAAGTGCTATCGAGAAGCTGTTTTCGATATTTAATGTTGAGAACTAGTTTATCGAGAAGTTTGGTTCGAGAAGTTCTTATCGAGAAGTCAGTATCGAAAACCTCAGTTCGAGAACTTGGTTTCGAGAAACTGATTTTCGAGAAGATCTATCGAGAACCTGCAGTGTCGAAAAAAAACTAGATATCGAGAAATAATATCGAAAACTGAGTATCGAGAACACAGACTCGAGAACTCAGTTCGAGAACTTATGTCGAGAAGTCGGTATCGAAATCCTGCAAATTGAAAAAAAGTTTTTAAACAGATTTTTCAATTGTTTAATAGTGTCCTTGATCTCGAGATCCTTCCTGAGTAGTTTTCAGTTCGAGAAACCTGCTTAAACACCGAGAACCCTGCTTTTCGATATCATTCTATCGAGAACTTCGAAAATTCAAGTTTACTGAAATCGAGATTTAAGCTATACTCTTGGTTCGTTTTTGACTGGCGAGTCCAAGGGTATAACTTTTACAGATAATCGATCAGAAACAAGATTACAATGATTAAAATAGCGAAATATCGAGAAAACAGGAAACAGAGATCTTCAAAAACTTTTCTTCGGCGATCACACTCGAGCAGGCTCTGATACTAGTTGTTGGTCCCAGTTTATGCAGACTAACGCACAACTAGATGGATATCATCGACAAACAGAGAAGAACGATTACCCAGAATGATTTATGCAATGTCGAGAACTTGGAAATCGCCTTTCTATTATATCGAGAAGTATTTTGGCAGCGTAAGGCTAAAGTGTATTGATCGATATCGGTACCTGTACACAAGGCGCATATTTATAGGCGCTGTACAGGTTACCGATTTAGGTAAACCTTGGAAGTTGGGTCAAGGCCTTTTTGGGCCTTATTCCCTTTAGCCTATTTATTACATAATGATTACTAATCTAATACCATAAATGGTATAACTAGTCTAATTTATTAAACAAGACATTACAGACAAACTTGACCCACAATAAAAATTCTAACAAAAACAATACTCCATATTTGTCAATAGCAGTTATTTATTTCATTTGGTAAATCGATAATAATTACTTAATTGATTTTAGTTGTTGAATTGACAATATTTATTTTAGTTTGTTGCAAATTACTGAAAATATGAAATTAGTTTGTTGCATTGTTGTTTTTTCAATTCACTGTTGTAATTGAATTGATAAGAATTGTGTTAATCAATTAAGATTTAAGAAATTGGCATGATGTATATACTCGTATGTTATTAGCTAACTATAATATCCTTTAGGTTTATAAATTATAATTATCTTTCATGATTTCACCCAAAATTCAAACTGAATTTTAACTGAAAAATTAAAGTCGTGTACAATGTTAGGGGAGAACAAAGCATAATTGGTAGTAATTTTTAATCGTTGAATTTTAACACAATTTACTTTTGTTGAAAGTTGGAATTTGGAAAAAAGGCCAAATTTTTGTTGTTGCATAGGGTCAAATTTTTGTTGTTAAAAGATTCAAAAGCTGCTCCAAGTTTTTATTGGAGCTCATCACATCACAAGAGAAAAAAAGAATTGAAGAAGGAAATCATGGCGGCGGTTTCATTGTTAATGATGTTCAGAGGCTCAGATTCTGTACATACATATTTGAGAGCAAATGGTATGGGAAATTCATCAGCTTTTTGTGCATCCCAAATCCCATTCCGTGTTTGTCCCTTTATTTCCTTACGGACTGCACTTCGGCCATCTAAACGACTCTGGTCAAGGTAAACGTCCATTTCTCTCTATCTGGCTCCCCAAGATTCCGTCTTTCTAACTTAATTTTTAGTTTTTCTTTTTCATTTTTATGTTTACTTTTCTTTCTTCATCCGCATACATCTTGGACTAGAAGATTGTCTTTATTTATCATTAATAAGGCCTTGTTTTTTAATTTTGAAGCTTAAATCATTTTTTTAAATATAAGAAATATCTAGTGTTGCTGAATTCGAATTTGGATCAGTTTAGTCTATGTGGTTCTTTATTTTGATCAATGGCGAGGTCATTTGGCGAAATGAATAAGTAGAATGAGTTTTGTAGAGAAGGTTTTGCTTTTAGGTGTTTGGAGCCAACAACCTACTCCATATTACAGTAATATCAGTTTTTTGAATTTAGATCTTTAGGTCATATAAGCTTACGACTGTGAAATTTTAGGGTATACTTAAATATAATTGAAATTTTGGTTTGTTATGAATTTCTTGATTTTTTCCTGGAATTTTAAGATGCAAATTTGCAAATACTCACAGGGACACATTTAGAGTTAGAGCAACTATGATACAAGAAAAGACTGAAGAGGAAGTGGTTATAGAGGAATCATTCCCGCCAAAGATTTTGCCTGACAACAATGGTGGAAGCAGCAGGCAGCCTCCTTCTGATACTTCTAATATTGAGAAATGGGTCATAAAGTTGGAGCAGTCAGTAAATATCTTCCTCACGGTACAAATCCCGATCCTTAAATATCATGTCACATTAATATATTTGTTGTTGTAGAATTCCATCCTTATATACCTGAAGTTGTGTCACGGATCTCTACATCTTTGTGCAGTCTCTTGCTCTATTTGTGGATTTATTTATGTGGTTTACCCAGGAAAAATACGTTTGAGAAAGAATCCATCATTTTTCAATGAAAGTAATACTTTGTTTCGTCTCAGGATTCAGTAGTAAAAATGCTTGATGGTTTGTACAGTGACAGACACTATGCAAGGTTTTTTGTTCTCGAAACTATCGCAAGAGTTCCTTATTTTGGTAATTATTACTGTTTATTCTCATGTCTGTTGGATAGCTATCTGAGTGGGAGATCTACTATTTTGCTATCTTGGCCTTTAACTCACAATGTATGAATATTTTTTGTGACAACTAGCAGCGTTTATGTCTGTTCTACACATGTATGAGAGTTTTGGCTGGTGGAGAAGAGCCGACTATCTGAAAGTCCACTTTGCTGAAAGCTGGAATGAGATGCACCATCTTCTCATTATGGAAGTAATAACAATATATCTAATAACTCTCCTCACTACTTAAAGCTAAGATATATGTCCACAAGTTTACTTCTGGTGCTTTTCGAGAAGTGGAGAACTTTGGAATTGCAACACGTTGTGATTTCATCAGTTCAACCTGGGGGCTTGATGAATCAATGAAATAATATTCCTATATATACATATATTGCAGGAATTGGGCGGAAATGCATGGTGGTTTGACCGGTTTCTTGCTCAAAATGTTGCAGTTTTATACTATCTGATGACAGTGTTTATGTATGCCTTGAGCCCAAGAATGGCATGTAAGTATGCTTCTATTGCATATTCCGTATTTCCCATGCTTTCCCTCTCATTCTCTCAATACGTATAAATTCACTCATATGACTTCTCCTTTGATCACAGATCATTTCTCAGAATGTGTGGAGAGACATGCATATGAAACTTATGATAAATTTGTCAAAGTTCACGGGGGTATGTATTTTATATATCTACATACATATATATAAATATATGTGTGTGTATTTTGTGAATAGCTATTGTTAAATTTGCAAGTTTATTCTTGTTTCACAGATATTGGCATATTTTAATCTTTCTTGCACATGGATATTTCTTATAAATTTCCGTTTATTCAGTTACATGGTGTGCATTATTGTTAATTTCAAGAATAAATTGGTGAAGTATATTAAACTACTTGCGCAGATGAGTTGAGGAAAGTTGCAGCACCAAAGGTTGCTGTGAGATACTACACTGAAGGCGACTTGTATTTGTTTGGTCAGCCTTTTTTTACTGTTATCATTGTTCTACTTTACTATGAGCTCGGGTGAAATATGGCTAAAATTGATGTAGTGGTTGAATCTATTGTTAGTTCATTCATTCGTTCATCATCACTCTAGTTCCTCAAAGGCTCCCATCACGTTGGCGTAAGAGGAGGTGAAATGTACACAGTCTTACATCCGCACTAAAGAACAAAGAGATTGCTTCCAGATGACTCAGAGTGAAAATCGCATCGGAAATTGGACTGACTGTTGTTTCATAACAAAGAAGCTCGGACAATTTAATGAACCATTTTGCTTTATTCCATCATATTCCCAAATAAAAAAATAGTGAGTCCTTGGCTCCATTGCAAATGATGAAAATGAAATGATGAAGTTAGTTATCCCCCAAAAAATATAATAATTTTGGACGTGATTTTCACTATGGGCATCCGGAAACAGTCTCTTTGTGCTTTAGTACATGAGTAAGACCGTAAGACTGCCTACATCCGACCCCCTTACCCCACCGTAGGTGGGAGCCTTTGCGGCACTGGGGTAAATGAAAATGATGAACAATGAAATGAAAACATGTGGAAATAATATATAAAGATTAAAGTGGCATTTCCTGTGGTTTCAGCCAATAGTATTTCTCGCATTACATTTATCCTATTATTAGCCAATTCAACCATGCACATTACAAAGGGGCACTGGTAAGTAATATCTCTAAGGGTTTGTAAATTGTCTCTCAGATGAATTCCAGACTTCAAGATTACCCAATACTCGAAGACCGAAAATAGGTAAGCTTTGCCACTGTTTATTACCTTTATTACCTACCATAGCCGGATAAATGTCTATGTATGTTGGTTCAAATTAATAGATCATTCCTATAAAAGTTTAGAATTTCTATGGTCCATCAACTTTGAGATGTATCATTTTTAAATCATGCTCTTCTGCCATTGCAAAAAGTGCACCGTGGTGAGGCAAGGTTGTACCGATGCACATTTTGCGCCAGAAGCATCACTGCATCAGAACTGCCCCCTATGTGTGTGTAGTATTTGAAAGATGAATGTTGCATAACTAAGGAGTTCAATTGTCAATGGTTGTGTTTGGTGTGTATAGAGAACTTGTATGACGTGTTTGTGAATGTCCGAGAAGACGAAGCTGAGCATTGCAAGACAATGAAAGCGTGTCAGACACACGGCAGCATTCGGTCTCCTCACTCCTATGATTCTGAGGAAGAGTGTGACGTCTCCTCTCCTCTCCATCGCCTTGATTGTGAAGGCCTCGTTGACTGCATTAAGAAAGCTGTTGTTGCTGATCGTTCCCTCCCAGTCAAGCCGAAGTAGAATGGGCTGCGTCATATTATGTGAGAATATATTAGTAGTTGTAAGCTTGTAGTAGTGTGCTAGAAGACAAAGAGTAAGAAGAAATTACCACACAGTTGTAATACATACATCCATATACATATGTTACTGAAGAAGAATATCAAATTTCTGTTCTACAAACAATGGTTGAAGAGATGCAACCTTGAAAACAAATGAAAGAAAGCCCGAATTTCTTTAATTGTATTATTATTTGAGTAAATGAGTAGCACAAGGGATGGTGCAGTGTGAACATTAAACATTTGAAATGACATAAGAACCCTAAATAAAGCAGTTGCTATACTGTGTCACTGTGATCGAGAGCAGCCCACGGTGAATATTCTACTCCAGTCCTGGACTCGGGTCGGGTGGCCCGACCCGGAACCGGCCCGGGACCGGTACTGTGATGAACCGGCCCGGCCCGGTGGCCCGGCCAGTGACCGGTCCGGGTAGGTCCGGCCCGGGGGGTTCCCGGTGCGGGCTCGGGTCACCCCAAAAGCCGAACCGGCCCGGCCGGTTCGGGCCCGGTTCCGGGCTTTTTAATTTTTTTTCAATTTTTTTTAACTTTTCGGGTTGGGCTGGGTATTTTGGGTCATTTGGGGTGGGTTGGGGGTGAGGGGGGTGTTAATTAGGAAAAGGAAAAAAAATGACCCGAGGCCCGGCCCGGACTCAGTGGCTACACGGGCCGGTCCCGGGCCCACTTATTCAGAATCGGCGGCCCGCCTGGGCCTAGACCTGGCCCGGACCGAATCCAGCCCTATTCTACTCCCACATTCAAAACACGCGTGAACAATACATGCTTGAACAACTTCTTTCTGTTTTGTTTTGTTTTCTTGTCCGAGTAGCAAAATGATGTAACTCGCATGTAAAGAAATGTAATTCACGTCAATAAGAAATATAACCGCAGGCAAGTCCAGATGTAACTTGTCTAGTACGGAGTATAAGAAATAAAACAAGAAGCCTAATTGCTCAAATACTTTACATGAATAGTGAATATGTTTTGTTTTTAATGGCCATAAAAATGTTTTTTTAAATCATTTGTTTTTGCCAACAAAATCATTTTTTTCTTTTCGCGAAAAAACATTTTTTTGTTTCAATACCAGGAGTTTATTTTGTGATGTTACTCGTGTTATGGAAAATGTAAACCGCATGGAAAATCTAACTTATGTTTATGCAAAATGTAACGTGTTGAGACAAGTCCAAATGTAACTCGCGTATAGGAAGATGTAACTAATGCATAAATAAGTATAACTCGTGCATAATAAAATATAGCTTCATATACTATCAAATGTAAACAATGAAAACAATAAGTTTAATTGTTCCATTAATTTATGTACGGAGTAAATAGTGAATACGTTTTGTTTTAATATTAATGCCATAAAAATGTTTTTTAAAAAACTCATTTTCTTTTGGAAAAAAATGACTTTTTTTTTGCCAAAAACCATATTTTTTTTTGCCGAAAAACCATCCTTTTTTGCAAAAAATAATAATCAAAAAGCGGATTTTTTTTGTATCAATAGCATGAGTTTATTTTGTGATGTAAGTATGTAACTCGTGTTATGGAAAATCTAACTCGCGTTGATGAAAAATCTAACTTAGGTGTATCCAAAATTAACTTGTTGATACAAATCCAAATGTAACACGTGCATAGGAAAATGTGAGTCATGTAACTCACGCATAAAAAAATGCAACTCTGTATACTATTAAATATAACTCCAGAAATTTTCTATAAACATTGTGGAAATGTAAACGACACATAAAGATGTAATCTCATATTTTATCAAATGTAAATCGAAATAAACAAATTTAAAGCACTATATATATATATATATATATATATATATAAAGATATGAAATATGAAGTATATTATAGGGAAATGTGTATGGATATAAAAAAAATATTACAAAAAGAATATTACAGAAATAAAAATAGTGTATGAATATGAAATGTAATACACTTATTTTATTTAGATTAATACTTCCTCCGTTCTTTTTTAATTGCAACAATCAACATTTCACGTTTGCCAACGCACAAGTTTGACCATCAATATCTTTCATTTTTATTTAATAAAAAATTTAAAAAATTCATATTTTGAAAATTTAGAATGAGAAGAATTTAACAATATTTTTAAAAATTTATTTTATAATACATTAATAAATAAAATGTAGTCAAAGTAGAATATGTGAATTGTGCAAAAAGTCCAATGTTGCAATTAAAAGAGAACGAGGATATTATTTTTTTTGTTATGAACTGACAAAGAATAAAAATTAGATTGAGTTGTAATTTAAGTTGAAGATAAAAGAAAGTAAAATTGTAATTACATTTTTAGTATTTGATGAGGAAGAAAAAAGGAATTGTAGAAATATAAAAAAAAAGCAAAGAGAAAATGGAATGCGATGCGTACGTATAGGGAAATAATTAAATGGGTCATGAGATTGTGGCACACCATGCACATGGTGTGCCAATTCCACAGTATAATCTACGTAAATAAAGGCATATTGCTAACGTAAGACATCATTTAGGGAGTGTCTGTGTTTTCTTCTACTTTTTTTGCAACATCTTTACTTCTACTTTTAAGAAGTCGTTAATAATAGAAATTATATAAAAAGTGATTAATAGTAAAAGTGAATAATGTTTAAGAAAAAGATGGTTTAAAAAAGGAGTAAAGGGTCAAATTGGTGCTTGAAATTGCATAAAAAGGGTCAAATAAGTCCTTATTGTCTGGCCGTCGCCATTGGGAGGTTTCCGACCGATTTTTTTGATGAACTTTTTCGAGCATCTTATTCATTAAATCTAGTTTACTCATGCCAAATTTCAGCTAAAACTTCAACCGTTGAGACATTCAAATGAATTCTTGAAGATAACTGCGCTTTTAGCTACGCAATTATCTTCAAGAATTCAATTGAATGTCTTTCCGATTGATTTTTTAGCTAAAATTTGATATGAGTAAACTAAACTTAATGAGTATGATGCTCAAAAAAATTCATTAAAAAATTCCACCAGGTAGCGTCCCAAATGTTGATGGCCGGACAGAGCCTCCTATATCTATAGATAATACATTTGAGAGATACAATTATGGAAAGTTTTGACACGTGTCATGTTCTAAGCAACTTTATAATAAATTATTTTAGATTACTCCTAAAAACCCTTTCGTACATTAATTTTCCTCAATTAATATTGCTAAAAATTAGGAGACATATTCGTATTAGATTACATTACTCCGTAGCTATTCTTCCTGCTAGGCTGGAGTTGCTAAAAATTAGAATTTAATGTTAGACTAGAAATTCTTTAATTTAAAGGTCACAATTCATGATTTCTGCAAATACAAATAATAAGTTTATGATTAGAATTCATCAGAATTATAATTCATTAAATATCACAAACTATGGAAAGTTTTGTCATTTGTCATCTTCTAAACAAAACATTCATTATAATATCCCATATTTTCTTTCCAATTTGATATCATCTATATCTATAGATATATACTCCATATATTTCAAAGATAAAATTATGGAAAGTTTTGTCGTGTGTCATCTTCTAAGCATACATTCATTATAATTTAGAATATTAATTCTTGATTGTACGTTCGATAGAACTTGGAAGTTAAGTTATATTAAAACTGATCATACTATAAGTACGTTAGTTTAGGACTAAGTTAAAATTAATCAATTCATGTTATGTACGTTAGTTTAGGAATAATAAATCAATACATCAATTCTATGTCATCTTCTTATCAAAAAACTAACTTCATAACGTTAGAATAGAATTAGAATCTACATATTTAAACAAAAATAGAAATACAATAACGGATCATGGAAATTTTGTTGTCTCTACAGTAAATTCACCCTGAAAATTATCCCACCTGAATTATTTTGATAATTTCACAATTCAGCGTGCAAGTGAAATCTAAGTTTTTTAGTTAAAAAAAAGGCTGATAAGTTGAAAACAAGTTGCCAAACGTGCTCATAGATTCGGGCTATGTTTGGCATTTCGAGCTATATGTGGAGTCTAATGTCTGAATTAAGATTTATGCTTTGAACTAAAGACTATTGTCTAGACTTGAATTTTGAAATGTTGCATCTGAACTATTAGATAGATGGACTTGAACAAGGTAAATCTGTTTGATTGAAAGAGTTGAAAAACGTTAAGACAATATGACCCGACCAGATTAGATCATACCAAATCAAAATCAATCATAATAGACAAACCAAACAAAAAAATCAATCAAATTAAAAATATTTTTAATGAAGTCCTCCCTAAAATTTAGAACCGTATATTAGATTAGAAATCAACAAATCTTTTGAAAGTGTTCATGAGTAAAATTTGAAGTTAATTAGCTTATTATAGAGTTGTCACAATACAAGCAGGAGTGAGATAGACATAGAAAATCAAAATATCTTACTATGGAATTAACTGTTCATATTTTAAAAATATTTAAATTTTTATTTAATCACCAAAATTGAGACTATGACACATGATTTGGTACTAAAATAGAAAGAGGGACTACAAAAGTTACACATATAACCTCAAAAATGAATTACTTAATTATGATCTAATTGAGAAAACAAATCTTAAAAGCATTTCAAAATGGTGAATATGAATTTTACTTATGTATGAATTTATACAATGAGGTCATTTAGCTCTATAAGTCAATGTTTTTAAATAAGTTAAAGGTAAGATATGTTTAATAGCTCATATCCACAAAATTTCCAATGAAATTGTTGATTTAGAATAGAATTGTCTCGCATGTGGTATTCATTTTCTCATTTTTAAAGTGCACACATACAACTTTAATAATATCACAATACTTGAAAACTCAAATTTACATAAATTATTTTTTGGATCATACTATGAGGGGGTGTTTGGATCTGATTCTTAAAACTGTTTCTGCTCCTTCCAGAAGCAAAGGCAGAATCTGGAGTGTTTGAGTGAAAGTGCAGAAGTGATTCTGGTGCTCAATTTACTCCTAGAATCAGTTTTTTTAGAAGCTGTGGTGGACCAGCTTCTGGAAACTGATTCTGATTCTGCTTTTGATTTAAAAAAGAAGCAGCAGCAGAATCAGTTTCAAACATCCCCTAAGTCCAACAATACATATTTTACTTAATAAGATCATATTACCCTCAATAACTCAATCTTAATTCATAGCTCCAATCGCAATATGTAGTGTGTTGTTGTTGCCATCATTTTCATTAAAATTAAATACGACTGTCACAAATTATTTATTCTATGTAGTTCTGAAAAGAGATCGAAAGACTAAATTGCGAAAATCTAAAACCTTGAAGGGCTA